CCATGAGTTTATGGTACTCTGGATCACTTCTGTTTTCTTCAGTACCAAAGAAGCAGTCTATCCCTACACATCAGCATATGATGCTTCCTTATTTTTTTTTATGTACTGTACTCTGTGAATTTCAAGAAAGGAAACGTAAGAATGCCAAAAAAAAAAACACCCCAGGCTCTAGCTGTTTTCAGTGCACTGTGATCCCAAGAAGCCGGTTTGGAGCTTGGCTGTCAGACCACCATCCTGGATCAAACTCAATAGATAATCTTCCCATCCTAAGATTAGGCCCTCATACAGATGACTCTTTTTTCTTCTTCCAAGTATCCCCTGCTTTGGTTTGTTTGCATTATGCATTTACATTTTGCTAAACTGTGGCTCTGATTTCCCATAAGCATAAATGATGCTGACTGACCACCACAGCCCTTCACATGTATCATTAAGGAAGACTCTGAACTCCACTATGGCCTCTCATTTCTATTGCTGAGCGTTTAATGCACACACTTCAATAAACATGTGATCCCAAATTGGATTTTTCTACAGATAAGCAGCTGGACACACTGTGCCACACTCACTGTCAGAAAGAAATGTTTAGCTTGCCATAATTGCCTCAACCATCAACCACAGTGCCTGATGAGAACCCTTCCATTATGTGACATCCCTGGAGGCATATTCCCCCTTCAGCCATGCAGGCATCTAAAGAACCTCAGGGAGCTGTACCATCAGTCTGCATGCTGATCTATGACAAATAAATGTTGCTCAAACAGTTTCTGTCAGTGCTGATTTACTTGCTTTGTTTCTTTGCTTGGGGTTTTAATAACAGTATTAAAAGTCTTTGCTCCCAGTGTATTTGACATTGTGCCATTGGTCCATTAGGATTTGGTTGAGTGTTGTGCATTATTTTTACTTTGCATTCACAGTGTGCTCTGTAATAGCTCACTCTGAATTCTAGCAACGGATGCTGTGAATTTGTATTAACAGCAGTGCTGATTTGTGCAATGCGTAGTAAAACTCTTTGCAAAAGAATACTTAGAGCTTCATGTCCTTTAGCATAGGAGATCACAGTTTCCAAACAGCAACAGAGGCTTTTCTTAGCAAATTGTTCCTGGACTAATCATAATGGGAAGGATTTCAGCTTGGATGGAAATCATTGACACAAGCTGCTGTTGAAGCCAAAAGTTTACGTGGCTTCAAAAAGCAATTAGACACAATTATGGAAGAAAAAAATCCATGAAAGTCGACTAAACACACAGATAACTCTGATTCAGAAATTCCCTGAGCCCTTGGTTGCTGAAGGCTAAGAAAGGATCCTAGGGACAGATCACTGTACAGCTCTTCTCTAAGAGTCTCCTATTAGGCACTGCCTGAAGAACACACTGTTCTAGTCTGACTTAATATGGCCTTTCTTATGGTGTCACGTTAAGAAGTCACGCTGAGAGCACTTACGAAGAGAGAATGAGGAAAAAAGACCCACAAAATATCCCCCTTCAGGTTAACAACTTGCAAGTGTTAAGATTTTCAGCATTTAAATCCTCCTTTGTATCTAATTAGAATTCAGGTCCTCATAACCCCCATCAGCTTCCTTAGGAAGAGCATACACACTGGACTGCACTATAATCATAGGCATTTCGGTGCCCACGGTGCCCTTAATTGGCTGAAGCCTTGCACAGCGTCTGGCATAAAAGCACTGATTTGCTGTAGTCTGTTTACACAAACTGGCCTCAAGTTTGTATAAACTACAAGATGCATTTTTGGCAATGAGTGTTTTAAAGTCTGCCATGGGGTAGGGTCACAATTGCTAAGGAGGAAAAGCTCGTTACTCGGTTAAACTAAGCAGAGGAATCTGGCAAAGCACAGAGAATACGTTACTCTGACAAAATTATAGGCAGTTTACAGCAGTGAAAAATCATTAATTTCGAGGCAAGTCCTACCACAAGTGTCACATCTTAGGAGATGCTCAGCACCATGAAGCTTTCTCCATATGCCTTGACCTTCTCTGGAGAGTGAACATGCCTCCTTAAACAAGTGGTCACTGGCATACTTGATGGACGTATTGAAACTGGGGTAAACAAACATACCTGTCCTGAAAAAAAACTCAAAGACATTAAGGTAAGACTGAAAAAGTAGCAACAGCCACACAAGGTGATTATTTGGTTTGGATTTGACTATTCTTTTTTTTTAGTGGGGTACAGGAATGCACTGGGTTTTGTCATTTTTCTGTTGTGAAATGATCTGGACAATTTGATGTCCTGGGGCTTGGCAGACAGCACCTCAGTTCTTGCTGTTTATCGTTATTTAAACCATCTTGCTCAAAACTGTGGGTGGAAATAAATAAAAAAAAATCTGTGAAATGCAATGAACCAATGACTTTCTCCCAGTTGAAAGACATGTGGTTTAGTTTTGTGGGTTTGTTGGATTTTTTTTCCCTTGGCTTTGTTTTTTCCCCCTCTTCTTTTTGCTAAAAGCACTGGCATTGACAACTACACTAAAAATACCCAAATAGTAGTCTTACACCACCTTCTCACTCTGGGCACTCTTGTGCTTTGCCACAATTCAGGACTCTGCTTTCCCTGTATGTTTTCAGCACCTTTCTTTTCTTCCTAATTATGCCAGTCCTCTCCCTTCCTATTTGCAATAACTAATATCCCCGTGACAGCCATTGCTGAGATGAGAAGGCAGCATTAGGAAAGCATTTAGTGAACATTAATTGCTTCTTAATATGATTTAGCTGCTGGAAATAAGAAAGCTAAGCTAGCTCCATGTGACCAGCAGCCCTACAGGCACTGCCACCAGACTCCATTGGAGATTCAATCCTGTCAACCTGGGGGGGCAGCAGCCATTCACGGATGACACCCAAGGCTACATTTTACTTTTCCAAATTAGCAGCTAAGTAGGGTTGTAGGAGCACAGCAACAAAGTCATCATGACACCACCTGGCTGATTAGTGATCTCTTCCTTCTCTGCGATCCAGCAATTATCAGTTCCCACTGGCTTCACAAGCTAATGGGAATCAGCGGCTGGAGGATGCTGCCAAGATGCAGCAGCTTCCAGCTGTCAGGAGGAGGATGGGATGGGACACAGTCTCAGTGTACTCTCTTCGGTCTCTGCCTTTTCCTGTGTGGCATCTTTGGCACCTGTGCCTTTACCATTTTGACCCTCTACATTATCCTATGTGACACCGTCACTTCAACATGGCAACACGACGCAAGCGAAACTTGGTCTTTCAATCTAGCATTCCTAAATTTGAATCCCGATTTACCATTGATTCTTAACTTGCCCTTTAGTTAGATCACTTAATCTCTTTACTAAGTTGCTCTGCCAGGAATTTAAGGCTGGTAACACGTTAGAGGTATTGTGACAATCAATCAATAAGTGTCTGTAAAGTTGTTGGTAAACAACAAGCACCGAGTGCCAAGTCCAATTTAAACAGATATGGTTTATAAACTTCCCATTTTCTTTGCAAGAACTTTAACACGACACAAAGATTAACCTTCTGATATGGAAAAAAAAATATCTCTGCTGATATTATATACTGGTGCTGGCAGCAGACCTCTAACTTGAAATACGATGTTCTTACTGACATCACTAAATTTCCCATGGATTAGCTGACAGTGATGCTTCAGGACTCATGGGAAAAGTGTACTGAAGACAGAAATAACAGCAAGGGGAAAAAATAGTTTTCTTGTCTGTAATTCCACATCTTCGTCTATTCAGAGCTGAAATAGAATACCACCAGACTTCCCCAAATGAAAGATTTATTATTTTATATGAAGTATTTAATGGGTGTTATGAAACAGTTGATAGTATCCACTAACATAAGCAGAAGCCTTCAAATTTTACAGAAGTAACAGTGCAATTGAAATTTCTAGTATCTGATACCTAGCGAACATATACATACCTTGAAAAGCATCACCGTTGGCCCCTACATGTTCATGTACCATGTCAGGTGGATTTATAGGATAAGCCTGAAGCTGAAGTAAGTTTTTTTGGGAAATGGTGATGAAACACCTTCATGTTCAAGACATCTAGGATTCACGATAACCTCAAAACAGCAAACTTCAGGACTTCTAAAGTCTTATCTCTGGCTTTGGTTCTTGATTACAACTAAGTACTTGAAAGCCAAGAGGACAACTGAGCTGTGTTCAGGGGGATTGTGCACTGAGCCAGTCCACTACCTGCCACCCCACACAGAGACCAGCCCACAGTGGCTTCTAGCTGCCTCCCACCAGCACCCACAGCACTGCTAACCAGTGAGGTAACAAATGCCCTAAAAAAGAATTAGGCATTTCCTGGCATACCCAATCACAGCTGGGGCTGTGCTGCTCCTCTGATGCACCATAGGCATGCTGCTTCCCATCCTTGTCTCTAACCACTTACCAGTCATGATATCAAGACCCTTGTTACTTCATTTATACAGCTGCAGCAGTGCTCGCTCTTTGTGGCCTTCCAGCCCTTGTTTGAGAGCATAAGAGGAGCAGCCCCAGGGCTTAAGAGAACGCTTGCAGGCACAGAAAATAGGATAGTGAAGAATCTGAAAAAAAACAAGATATTAGCTGGCTACAAGTGAAAGGCTGTTATCAAGTATAGCACCTCTACTACTTGCTCTGTTAATAAAGGAGGCTTAATGGCACGTTGTCACCTTACTAGGTTTCTCATAGCACTAGGTGGTCTTGTGAAAACCCCGTTAAATGCACTACTAGGTAAAAAAAGATGCAGAAATATTTATTTACCAAACCCACTGCAAACGCATTCTATAAAACCCCAAATAACGCACTGGGTGTTATTTATAAATAGAGACCTATTAAAGCTGCAGCGACCCAAGTGCACCAGCCGCAGGGCAGGGCAGGGCAGGCACCCCCAGGAACCTGCCCCATCGGCGGCGGCGCTCCTTGCCCGAGGGTAAAGTTTGCCGAGAAACCCTCCCCGTTCTCCCGACCCTGCCCTGCCCCTCAGCGCGGCCGCCCCAGCGGGCAGGGCCCCGAGCAGCGGCCGCGGTGGGAGGGAAGGCGGGAGGCGGGCGGGGGGGGGGCTGTCAGCGGCGGCGCAGGGCTGCGGGCGAGGGGCGGAGCGGAGAGACCCTGTGTCTACCATGACCGCCTCCCCCTCCTCGCAGCCTCCCTTAAATACTATGGGGCGGCCGTAGCTGTGGTGGGTGTTGTTGCCGAGCGCACCATGCGGGCTGTCATCGCCTTGGCCGCGGCGTTGGGCAGCTTGCTGCTCGGCGGCTGTCTCCTGCGGCTGGGTGGCCAGCAGCCCCTCCGCGCCAGGTAGGGCGGCTGGGGGCTCCTCTCCCGTGGCGGTGGGGCTGCAGGGAGGGAGAGCCTGGCGCCGGCTGGGGAAGAAGGAGTGGGACGTGGTGAGTCCCTCGCCGGGAGAGGGGCGCGGCGGAGTCTGGTGCTGTGGCAGCCCGGCGCAGGCTGGGCTCGGCTCGGTTGTTGGCGGCGTGTGAAGGGCTGGCGGGGAGGAGAGCGGCGCCGCTCCCATCTGGTAATGTTTAATCACTGCTTTTGACAACTTTGTTTTCCTGTCTTGCTTGCCAGGGGCTGGGAGCAGGACGCGGGGGTAGCTGCTGTCACGCCGAAAGTGGTGCGAGCCCTCCGGCCGCCCCTAACGCCCCTTCCGCGGACCGAGAACAGGTACTGGCTGACCGCCACCAGCCGCTGGTAGCGGGGTCCGTGAGAAAGGGTCCGCAGAGGCAGAACCCTGCCTGCGCTCCGACTCGTCCTGCCTTTTGTGTTGACGGCTTGATCAGGGAGAGTGTTAAGAGGCTTACCAGGCTAAGAACATGAAAATTCACTCAAACTGCAGTAAATTATTTGCTCATAGGCCCTTTTAATGACAGGTTTTGCTCCAGTGTTGGTTTTGAGCCCAATAAAATGTTGCGTTTAGCAGTTTTGTTAACGTACGATGCAAAAAGTGCTTGCTGTATGTCATCTTCCAGGTATCTTTTATTACTCTTTCCAGGAAGGTGGAGCTGGAGCTGTATAATACTGTTACCGTTTCTGTAATGAGTACTTAGTTAGAAATACCCATTTCTCTTTTAAAATCCATAGGATGAAGACAAATGAGCCCTTTTTCATGTTGTGTAGCATCTTACTTTGTGGGAGCCCTTCCACCTGGTTCCACGTCTTGGTCTTAGATCAGTGTTGATCTTTGCTTTACTGCCTCTTATTTTATACTGTGACGTTAAATATGAAAACAGTTGTTAGAATTAGCTGTGAAACAAGTTATGTCTCACATGCAGGCTTCACTATAATGACTGTGTTTTCATGCTCTTGATTCTTCACACACCGTAGGAAAACTAATAGTGCAGAAGAGGGTGGTGTCATCCTCACATGAGATATTACTATCTAAGAAGTAGCTTGTAAATATTTTTGTTACTCTTTTACTTAATATGGCTTCATTACCATTGCAGTTTCAGTGATTATCATATGTTTTCAATGATATCATATGTTAATACATATTATGGGTAAAGCCACATGATGAAAATTAGATGTAACTGTGATGTCCTGGTTATATTGAAGTCAATGGTGAGCCTTACCTGAGGCTGCCATCTCACCTGACCTAGCTGAATTTGAGGTTGAAACAGCACATGCTTTCCCTAAATGGATGCAAGTGGCATTAGTTGTAGTAGCCATTGCTGTGTACCCTAACAATAGGTTTCTTATGTGTTACCAGTGAGTCACCCTTGTGCTCCCGGCCTCAAAATGTAGAACTTTCACAAGCTGTAAGTTTATAATGTCTTTCAAAATTAGACTGAAACAACAGGAACATGTGCAGAATTCTGACTGCTGTTACGTGCTCCTAGGCTGCTTCTCTTTCCTGTGCTCATTTTTTCCCATTCTACCTCTGTTTTCCACTCCTTACAATTTATTGGGTTTGCAGTATGTACCCTGTTCTGCTTTGCTTTTTGTAGCTGTCGCTCCATCCTCCTCTTCAGCCTGTTTTGTGTTATGTCTGTGGTTTCTCTGTGCCCCATGTTCTACGACCCTTCTTTTCTCCTGCTTGTTTCTGAGCTGCAGTCTCCTTCCACTCCGCTCTGTGCTAAACCATGGAGTCAAACTGACTGAAAATGCTGGCAGACAGCATTTCGGAGAGCAGTCTAGGTACTTTCCATCTGCTGTTTAGTACACTCGCAACTGGAGCAAAGAAAGGGTAAGCAACACATACTGAAGTGGGCTGAAAATCCATGGCATGTATGGGTCGGTTTTTAATCTCTGTAATAAGTGAGCATGAGATTTTAAATACATGTTTTTTCTTTAATTTACTTGGAGGATTTAGGCACCAATTTAGCGCTAGTTTTGATCAACCTGAAATTGTATTTCTTTGTGATTAAGTGACTGCAAAAGTGTGACAAGTAAATTGCTCACCAATGAAAGTTTCATTTCATTCCATCTCCTGTAACTATAGTGTCTTTGGAAGGGATGGCTTGCTGGCTGAATCCAAGAGAGGATGTTCTTTCTCGCCCTAGTGGCTATGCTCAGTAAGCTGGCCTGACAGGAGTTCCTGGTGCATGTTTGGTGTATGAGGAAGGAGAGTGAGCTGCTGGACTGAACAGGAGCTGTTACTTAATCCAGAGAGCAGCTGGACTGGGCAGGGAGCCGTGCTGAAGGGGTTTGATCCAGGCAACAGCTGGATTGGGCCTGGCTTAGGGCCATGCTGGAGAGATTTGATCCAGAAAACATCTGGACTCATTCAGGAGGTTCAGACCCATCCCTCAGTGTTGGAGATGGATGGTCTGGTCAATAGGAATTAGATTCCAGTTTGCAGTGTGAGTCTGCTGCGCTATTCACGAGTATAGCAAAAGCACAGAAGAGTCCCTTGTTGAAATAGGTTGTACAGGGGTTAGTGAATTTTTGAATCGGATGAGGCTATATGAGTATGTTGATCCATGAAACTAGGACAATCTCTTGGTGCAAGTATGGGTCTCCTACAGTATCCCGATAGTTTGATCAGCATTGCTGTGTTGCTGACACCAATGTCCTTTACTGCGTCAGAGTAAGAGGATATGTGTGGATGTTTGATTAGATTCTGATCTCTTCAGCAGTTTGATGCATTTGTCTGGAAAGGTAAGATTTTCTCACCAACTTCAGTGGAAAAGTTAAAAAAAAAAAGGGCACTACCCTGCTTTAACTGTAAGTAATCTAGACAATCTTCAGAATTTCAAGCTAATCTTTCTTCTTATCACAATTCCCTGTGCTGTTGGAGGCATATTTGTAACCAGACATCTCCTGAAGAATCTCCAAAGCCCTATTATTCTGTTGGCTTGCAATATTGAAAGTTAATCTGTTCTTTTACTTCGAGTAATTCTTCTAAAGGGATGAAACTGAAAGATGAAAGAATGAAAAACAGGGGATTGGTTCAGACTGTCACAGACATTTAGGCAGCTGTCATGCACAGCAATGTTTAATTAGGTAGTGACCAGCCACCTAAAGTTCTCTGAAGATCTGTGCCTTAGTAAATGACCTTGAAGATGTGGCTGGTCTCTTGCAGGACATTTCTTACCACTTTTTCTTGTTAAGGGTTAGGTCACTCGAACAATGTGACTGCCTCTACAGTGTAACTTCCAGGTTCTCTTGTGGGTTTACTTTGCAGCCTGCAGTGCCTGTTAGTAGGGTTTCTTCCTAAAAGAAAAAAAAGGTCAGTGTTAGTAAGATTTCTCTAGTAGTCCCCAGATTTATTCATGGAACCAGTAGCATTCACACCGCAATACTATGGTTCTCTGGAAAATCTTCATGTCGCTGCCTCATAGCATCTTCTCAGTTGCTAAGCTGTAACTGAAAGTACAGCTTAAACTTGCTCAAGCCAACAGTACAACCAAAAGTAGTCTTGCACTTGTCCCACCTTTAGACCATTGGTCCTCCCCTCACAGCTGTGTTTTTGCTGGAATATTTGTTTGTGTAGTCACAGCATTAATAGCAAAATAGGGGGCTCAGTACTGCTCGTGCTTATCAGAGAAGGTGATAGCAGTAAGAGGAACTAGGTAGTCTTTGTTATGAGGCCTAGGGTGTACTATGTTAAGCTTGTGCAGAAATTTTAGCTCCTTTTGCACTGTCCAGGGATATATAGCAGATAAATAATGCCAGGTCCTACAAAGGAAGTGAAAACAGTTTTCTCAAGCACTATTTCTATATACTTCGTGCACAACTAATAACAAGGCAGCAGTATACCCTGAAGAGCTGACCATCATTACTATTATTCTGTTAGTGTCACTAATTTTAAGGCATTTACTTACTATTTCCCTAACTTACACTCTTCCTTTGCAGGTCCAAGGCAAGCACAGTGTAGAGACTGTTGGGGTAATTGAACAGTGGGAGGAAGTGATTGAGGAGCTATGAGTAAACAAGTTAGCATTAATACAGTGTTTTCCATAGTATTTGTTTCTCCAATTCCTCTCTCAGCAGCAGATCTTTATGCAGACCTAGGGAATAAACATCTATACTTAATTAACTGTGCTACAGAGACCTGTACATTCTGTCTCCTGTCAAAATACTGCATTCTGGCAGTCAGAAAGTGAAGAGACAGACTTAACCACAATTATGAACAGTAGTTTAGTATACTGTAGCATAATTTGCTAGAGCTTAGATTAGTCAGTACTGGTGCCCACTTCACTATTGTTACCCTTTTCAGTATTTTTTCCTTTCATTCCCAAGTGATGCATGTAGATGTTTTTTAGGAGTGCAGTTCAAACACGGGCCTCATGTATTAGTTCTGTCAAAATGAATAGGTGTTCAACTGAAAGCTGCTGCCAGGACACATTTGTGTTTTGACAGTGGTGAAAGGTTTCTCAGCCTCCTTCTGTTTACTTGGTCCAAGTGAAACTGCTCTGTCATTCTGTCTCTTGCGTACTGTTGTAACATCATTTTAGTGTAAGTACCTGTTCTCTTCATTTTACCCACCACGAGACTCTGCATGTTGCTTGTCATGTTACCTGTCATGCGGTTTATGGATTTTAGAAATAAAAACTGTCTGATGTATAACTCTGAATGCATTGGAAGGTCTTCCTTCAAAATGCAGCTTGTCTTAAAGACCTGATTTAGCATTCCTTAGATAAGCAAAACCTCCGTGGTAACTTGAACAAGGACAGTAGAATCAGTCTCTTTCACAGTTACTGTGATTAATGTTACAAGAGAAACTCTTACTTCTGTGGTTTGATAAAGCCATTTTAATAGTCCATTTCACCAAGCATTTAAATTGTGTATTGCCTTATTAATCAAGGTGTTTTGAACCTTAAAAATGTCACTATATTCTTATCATCTGATTAATTTGAAATAGTGTCAGAGGTAGCGCTTTAGAACACCCTTCCTAGGAAAGTATGGGTTACTGGCTTTTAATTGTATTCAACTAATAGACTATGAGATTCAAATATAAATTAGTCTCTTCAAGGGAGAGATTTAGACAGAAGGTGTTCACAGTCTGGATAGTGTTGTTCAGCGCCACTTTGCTAGAAGGATATAAATGTGCAGTTTTGCGTGCAGAAGTTACCCTTTTTTAGCTGGAGATCCTCAGCTGGAGGAGGGATCAGAGGTCCTGTGCTGCTTCAAGGCAGACAAGAGCAGAAAGCTTAGGAAAAGTGCAACAACTGCTTTTGCTGGGCATGGAGTGAATGGAGTCAATGAGTGAGGCTTTTCCATGTGTTCAGTGTGGACTTAACTCTTGCTGAAATTAGGGGTGAAATTCTTGCTTTTAGTGCTGTCAGACAATCCAGTTCTGAGCTCTTTTGAAAATCTCACCCTGTGTTCTTTGAGTTGTTTCCAGCTGCTTTTATGGGAATTCTGGAGGATTGGCCTTTCAGTCCTGGGCATGTCTTTATGTTACAGTATAATTCACAGCACTCGATGTTGTTTTTCCATTTTTACCTGTCCCTGTACCCCCCTTCATACTTTTTTCATCTATCTTCTGTCCATCCATTTTCCTACTCTGGTAACTGTTTGGGGTCTAGTTTGGTTTTGCTTTCAAAGAGCTTCTCTTTCCTTTCCCTCCCTACATCACTGCTCCCCCAGTGTACTTGTCTGTTTGGTGATTCCTTGCACTAAGGCTCCCTATAGTCTCAGGGCTGCATGCTACAGGTATAGCAAAAGAGGCCATGTAGTTCCTCTATTTCTTATTCTAAGGGTGGGTGCAATAGTCGTCTTAAAGAATTTTACAGGTAAAGGAGCTGCTGTCTTCCTGAGAGCAAGATATAGAATAACAACTTGCTGATAAATATGGCACATGGTCTTAATCTACTGTGGATTTATTAAAGTACAGATGGTGTACTTTCAGAGTTCCTAGAATTACCATAGGAAGTATGTGGTCCTCAAGCTGTTCCTATATGATTAAAAAAAACCCGTTTTTCAGATTCTGGCCAGTGATACTGGCTTTGAGAACATCTAAACCCTAAGAGAAATGCAGCAGAAATTTCACTGTTTTGTCAGTTTTATGAGTTCAAGACAACAGAATATAGCAAGGTTTCCACTTCAAGTTCTCATCCAGAGTTTGTAAAATTAGTTGAATTTAGCCTGATATCTGCGTTGCTGGGCACGTTACCTGATTTCATTGCAGAAATTTTAGCGCAGTTCTAAGTATTGAACAAAGACTGTCATGCACTAGGTCAGGTAAATTCATTTAGTGATAAATGTTGCCTAGCATAATTGTCATAAGTGTTCAGAAATCTAATCTGAGCCTGCTGTCTGCACAACTGTGCAATGAATAATGCAGTAGAAGTCTGGACTGCGCCCTGCACACCCCTTTTCTCTGCATGTGGAAATCTTTCACTCATGAGAAGCAGAGGCTACTCTGACAGTGAAACAGAAATTCAGAAGTTTAACTTCTACTCGGGTGAGTCATTGCTTTGCATGTCTTGCAAATAATTTGTTTTGGTTTTGTGTCCTTTTACACCATATAAATAGAGTGTTGAGTAAATTTTGTGTGGAAAAAGCTGCAGAAGCAGCATTTTGCTGATCTATCTTGTGCCTGCATTGTATGGATAAAGAACTTAAAGTTCATGTTTGGTTTTCCCCACAGCTGTGCCATTTTCACTATCTACTTGTTATGGAAAGGGAAGACTCCTTATTCCTTTTTTTATTCCCTTGATTGCTGTAAAAGTGATTGGCAGGATATAATGATGAAATGGAACAGGAATTTATTTTGATCGTTCTTTATCTGACTTCTTCCTTTTTTGAAATTTTCAGGTCTTGAAAATGTGTGCGTAAAAAGCAATTGTATATTGAAAAAAGAGGCAACTTCCTTCAATTGATCTCAGTGCTGTGAATTTAAAAAGACTAAAAGGCTGTTGAGTAAAGCTTGTATTTGGTTGAGAGAATATTTATTCACTGCCCCAGTGATCTGAGGACATAAATTAATAGTAAGCTGTAAGGACCTTGTAATGATTCTCTGTATGGTGTTGAAACCTGCATGTGAAATAACATTGGTTGTCTGACGATGCTCTGAACGTACCTCACAGTGATCTGATCAAACCTAACCTCCTGATCTTCCTGGCAGGTTTCATGCGTTAAAGGAGGTCTCCTCTGTCCAGCTTCTTGATTTTTAGTTGTAATGAAAAACTGACCTGCAGCAGTAACATGTGCTTGGCTTACGATAGCAACAATTCTCTTTTTTTCAAGGTGCTGCTTATGCACCTAAGCTTCGCCTGTAGCCATTTCCCTTACTTTAAGCTGCAGCTGCAGACGAATCATCTGAGTTTGCTGAGTTAAAGAAGCAAGAGGGAGGAAACATGATTTAGTGCTAACTAAACTTGCTCAGGAACTGGTGTTAGGTTGTTTAGTGAAAGGGCCCATCTGGTTCTTCTGTGTAGACAGAACCATTCAGACCCAGCTGCAATAAACCTGTGTTCGTTCATAAATAGTGTAAGCAGAATATTTGCTGGCACTTGCTATATGAGATCTGCAGAATTGTTTGCTCTGAACCGTGTGCTCTGAGAGCCTTCTGTCCTCATGTTTGTATGTCATTCCTTGAAAAGGAATTAGATGAGGAGCTGTACGCAAGACTGGCGAAGGAGCTCTCGGTAGGTAGTGCCAACTGTTGCTAAGTATTGCAGTCACTGCAGAACTGAAAGGACGGAGGTTTACATTGTGTTGTCTTACCATTACCCTCAACAAGGAGCATGCAGGCTGCTTGTTTCCTTAGGGGCACTGAATGTATACTGGGAAGAAGATCTTCATGATGGAAATAAAGTGAGGGAGCTTCTGTAGCCTGTATTCTGGGTGAATTGTTCCTATGGAGTGACTGACCCATTAAAAAATCCATGGGTGATGGAAAGAGAAGGACAGGTGCTTTGTTCCTTTTCCTCCCCTGTCATAGCTATGAGCATGCCACTCAGTTCAGTAGCAAAATTAACAAGCATTTATTCTGCTCTCTCTTCTTCAGTCAGCCTTTTTCTTATTTGAATTATTTAAGATGTTTTGAGAAAGCTCAAGGGGGACCTTACCAATACCTGAAGGGAGGCTGCAAAGAGAATAGAGCCACATTGTTCTCAGCAGTGGCCAGTGACAGGACCAGAGGCAATGTTCACAACCTGAAACACAGGAGTTTCCCTCTGAACATCAGGGAAGACTATTTCACTGTGAGGGTGCCTGAGCACTGGCACAGGTTGCCCAGGGAGGTTGTGGAGTCTCCCTCTATGGAGACACTCAAAAGCCATCTGGAGATGGTTGTGGGAAACTGACTCTAGGTGCCCCTGGTTGAGCAGGAGGTTGGACCAGATGACCTCTAGAAGTTCTTCCCAACCTCAGCCACTCTATGATTCCGTGACTTGAAATGGCATCTTTCCCAACTAAACTTCAAAATCGGCTTGCCAGAAATCTTGTTTAGTGGTCAGCATGTTTTAACAGGTGAAGGCAATGGCGTTTTGGTCCTTGTTGGTAAAATGAATCGTGGTTCAGCAGCACAGCACATTGTGTACAAACCAGGAAGACCCTTTCTCTTTGTGTATGAGTGCCTCTGTACAGAGATGGCTCGGTTGTTCTGTGTTGCTAAGAACAGCACAGGTTCTGTTCACTGCTGCAGCTCATGCCCAGGAGTGAATGACACAGCATCTGTCTTCTGTATTTCTGTTTCTGGTTTGGACAAATAGGTTGCAATATTCAAGTGGTCTATAAGTAGTGAATCAGTAGAAAGAACCCAAAAGGAAAGGGGAGGGGAGGAAGAGCGAAGGGTGAAGAGGAGCAAGAAAAATAAAAAAGAACTTCACAATAAAAGACAACACCCACAGCAGAAGGCTGGTGATAGAAGAGGGTGATTGTGTGAGACTGAACCTCGATACAGGGTGAATCGAGGTGAATGGAATAAGACACCGGTATCTTGGTCATTCACTAATTTCCAGCTCAATCTTCTACTAGGGCTGCCAGGGCAAGGGGACCACACAGGAGCTTGGCAAAAATAAGGCAACAAGATTTAAAGATTTAAAGTCTGGCACTTGCCTTGGCTCCTTTTACAAATGTTTATCCTCACTGTGTAAATAAACAATAAGAGAGGGAGGAAGTATTAAGCTTAAGAAGTTAAGGTCCAAGTGGAAAGATCCATTTCACCTGTGGTGTTTCCTGTATATATTATATTGGCTCAGAATATTGCATTTCATCAACAAGTTTAGGGAATTGCATCTGCTAAATATTTTACTGGTGAATATTTTAAATATCTGCAAAACATAATCGTTCAGAGACTTCCCACTTCATTTCTCTTTCTAATTACATTTTCTGATTACAGTGTGAAGCAGAAAATATAATTCACACTATGAAATAGGGTTACTTTGACGAATCAAACATTTTTATCATCACTAGCAGCAAACTCCCCTTTTATACAAGAGCTTCACAATAAGTCAATAAGATTTCTTTGGTAATGTTTTCAGCTAAATCAGTGGTTATTAATCATACTGATATAGCAAAAAATGTGACAGCATTGTCAGGGACTGTTCTGTCTTGTAAAGTTTGTTCCTTTTTTGTTTTTCTCCTCCTCCTCTCCCCCCCCCCCCCAACAGAACAGCTGTTAATAAAAATGGAATTTACCAGTTCGAACAGGCTTCAAAATGTAAGGCAATTCAGGACAACATTTTGTCATCATCTACCAAGAAGAAAAGGTAGGTGTTTGCTGTGCTTTCTGCTTTGTTTGTTTTAAGTAGGAGGGTAGAAGATTGCCCTCTTTCACATAATTCTTGGTGATATTAATGTGGAGCTATACAACAGGAAACTGAAATTATATAACTAATGTTTGCCTGCATTTTTTTCTTTCACATGAATTAGATTTAGTCAAGGTTGTATTTTATTTTTCTTATTTTCACAATATAAGCAAGATTTCTCCTTGCCAGTTAGCAACATTTTATTCCAAGATATTCACAAAAGGCTGTACAGAATTTGTGAGGTATAATTTCATTCTTGAGTGTCTTTTTCCTGATTGGTGAACACTCCTGCTATGAGCAACCCCCGTTAATGGGTTCTTTTCAGTGTATTCACTAGAGTAGGTATGAAAATGTACTAGCATAAAAACTTGCTAATTAATTTTACTCATTATAATGAATGGTTCACAGGCAAAAAATACTCAATTTTGGCTACATTGAAAAAAAAAAAAAATCCCAGATTAATTTTGGATTTTAACCTTCTGTTCTGCCTTTTCCCAACATGGAAAAAAGACCTTTGATATCAGCCCTGCACACATTCCTTGCCACTTTCTAAAGTGAAAGTGGGAGAGGCAGCACATTGCTTTTGACATGTAACATTTTGTCTATATGGATGCACCAGTAAATAAAACATTGTAAATGAGAAAGGCTTCCCATTAAGACTGGGTTCTAGCTTAAAATTAATTATTTGACATGATTGCTTTAAAATTGGAAGATTTAAAGCTTCCCCCCCCCCCCCCCCCCCCATTTGTGAAGAGAAGTGGAATGCAAAAAAGCTCTCCTAGAAATAATTCTGTGCTTTTCCCCATTCAAAGGACAGGAGATGTCAAATTTTATCACAATTTTAAAACTTCTCTGTCTTTTCTGCCCCCTCCTTTCACCTGTTTGTAAGTCACCATATTCTCAGCATTCTGTCTTTACTCTTAATTATTTATTTTTTCTCCTCTGTAACCTTTCCTTCCACCAACATTCCACATCATCAGCAACACTGTTATTGAAGTTTTACTCTTTTGTAAGGTGTTAGACCACTATGTTACTGATGCACTGCTGGTGAGAGCCAAAACAGAGACTGACAAACAGAGGTCAAAGAACACAGTTGACTTTAAAATTCAGTGATTAACAGCAAGAGAGGGACAACCAGTCACAGTAGTGCCTCCAAAATCCAGCTATAGCAATATAAATGCTGTTATTTATTCCATGCGGTACAAAATTGTACAGGCTGCAGCAATGCAGATGAGCTCTTCATACCTAGAACGTTTTGGAGCTGAGACTGTAGGAGAAACTCTACCAAGTGTGAGACCTCTATTCTGTGACTAAAGAGAAAGGAGCTGCACCATTTAACAAGGCAGAAGATGAGCTAGGCAGATAAGAAGAGAAACATGCTTGGAACGAAGGAGGAAGGGATTGCTTTGTGCCATGAATATTGCAACTCATTGCCTTTCACTGAGAGGAGCTTCAGGGATCTGTGTTGCTTTTTTGTGACCCACAGGCACGGTATATAAATGTTTTATATTGCAGTTCTAGACTTTCAGGGACATTCTGGATACTCCTTCCTTTTAAGTTGGCAGAAAGGGAAAAAATAGCTAGTTTAAAGGTTGTCAAATGATTTGATAGTAAAAAACGCAATGTAAGTGGGTACTTATTATTACAGCAGGTATGTGCTGGTGGTGATAAAGAGCCTGAAATGCTGAGTTTTGCTGGCAATTTTCCATTTTTATTCTAGAGCAAGCCCTGTGCACACTCTCCTGAGGGCTTTAAAAACTAATAGCTGTTTTGGTACTATTAAAGTGTCCAAAGGCAAAAGGGACCGTCCTTTTCTCTTGCATTTCCTGTAGTTATTTCTCTTTTTATTTGCTTCTTTCTTGAACATGAGCTGCCAAGTAGGAATATCTCATTTTTTCACTCTTGCTGCTCAATTTTCCTTCTAATTCAAATAGCCATTTCCTCTTTTCCCTCTGCCACCCCTCCCCCTCTCCCCCAGTAGTTGTTTAGTTATAGCAAGTAACAGTCGGGCTGCATCTGTCTTCCTGTTCTGACATTTTAACTATTGTCTCCCTACTTTCTAAACACTTCCGTCCTTGCTGTTGTCCTTTAGATATCTGCCAGAAATTAGAAGGTACTTACACTTCGTCAGTGCCTCAGCTGTGCATAATGATTCTACCTTAGCCACTGCAGTTAATATAGAAGGTCACTATGTACCTGACAAGTGCTATAGACAAAAAAACCCTTCCAGGTGTTATTTGTCAGCAAGGCTCTTACAGGATGAATTTCCTACAACAGCAAGTTATTATAATGGCTGTGGTGCAAGTGGTAGACAAAACCAGAACAAAATGTGTTTCATTCACTATTCTCAGCACTGTCATTGTTGTCTTGTCCACGTATTTTCATAGTTCAATTTACCTGAGCTTTTTTATCTTGGTAATAAACCCCTTTTAGTGAATAAGTGCTGTAAGCACCTGGGTGCCAGAGGAAATACAGGTATTGTTCCAGCTCTTTAAAATGGAACAGTGAAGAAGAGGACTGTCTGGGTTACAGCAGAGCCATGAAATGATACCCTGATGGCCTTCTGGACTGTCCTCGATTGGAGGAATGACTCCCCAAGGCTCCCTTAAAGCAGGAATGCTAAAATAGGCTTTCTGAGAGGAAAACAAAGCTTTCTGGGCTGTAAACCCAGCTGCAGCAAATCCCAGAGCTTCACTCTGAGTCTTTAAAAAAAATTAATCAATGGGAATATTGTCTGTTAAAGTAGAGCTCATTGCGTGGAAGCCTTATATTGGGGTGAGCAGATGTGGTGGCTGCCTTGCAGACCTGTCATGGCTGGGAGCTGTCCCCTGGCCCCCAGCACATGCTACTGGGATGTCTCTGCCAGAGCTGGCAAAGATGAGTTCTGACAGTCCATCATGCCTTTGTAAGTCTCAAAAGGAGCAAAACTGGATGTGTAGGGTGAGCAGAGATGGTGGTCTGCCTTTTAAAAACCTGCATGTGGTGCTTTTCTACATGAGCTGCTGAGCTTAGAAACCTCTTGCTGAGCAAGAGTGATTCCACCCAGTAGATAGTAGTGGAAAGGCAGCAATGTTCTTGCATTATTGGTATTTTTACCATAGGTGCAGCTTCTGTTACAGGAAGGTCCTTACAGTTTGTGACAGTGAGTGCCTGTGTTTCTCACAAAGCCTCAGAACTAGCATTATGGGTGATGCTTTGATTTTTCTCCTTACCAAATGTTTCCCTGTAAGTTGCTAATAACTTGTCAGTGCATGCAGTTTCTTTCTGAGCTGATGGTATTTTTTCTTTCTGAGTCTGATCTTCATCTTATCAATGTCTTTAGGGTGGAATTTACTTTTTCTGTTTTTTTTTGTTTTTTTTTTTTTCTCTTGGGTAATTATAGTCTAAGTAACTCTTCATGCTCTGTTATCCTATTCATTTTTGGAATTTATCCAAAAGTCCCAGCATCTAAGAGTTATTTATCATTTACCCTTAAGGAATAAAACTAGATAAGTGATTAAATATTAGCGTAGGCTATTTTGGTCCTGTGCTTCTATCCCATCTTCCCCCACACACACACTCCCTTCCTGCCCTGTGCTGGTACTAACACTTCCCTGACCCCATGGTGAGCCAATTTAGGTAGCAGCTTCAGCAAGAAAGCAGTTCCATTTTTCTCTGGCTGCAGTTCCAAGGCTGCTAATACAACACACCAGCATGCAGCTGCCAAAATAAGAAGGCCTTGTTCCCAGTTTCTCCGCTCCCATCACTCCTTGCTTATAGTGGCAGTGTTCTTAAGTGGTGTCTTTCCTGATCTCATTTAACACACTAAAGAAAATGTATTTCCATATTTTTATTTTTATTTTTTTTCTTCTGAGGTTGTTGATTTTGGTGGTTTTTTTTTTTTTTTGGCATGGTAGCAACTCAGTGTCCTATGAAGGACTTTGACAAGTGTAAAAGCTGGTAGAAACAAAACCAAGGTGGAGTCAAGTAAGTACCAGCAGTGAGTGGCACAAGGGATGGAACAGATTCAGAGTTGGACTGGAAGGACGAAGCATGTGCTGTACCAGGTCAGATCAGCTACAGCTGCAATGAAACTAGTTTTGCTTTTCTGTCACTTCTGCCCATTTATTCCTTCTCTCTGAGCAGTGCAAGGGCTCAATAAAATCAGTTTAGTCACAATCATCTAGTTCTGTTAAGAGTCTGCCAAGTCTGGAGAATGAAAATCATACATGTCACAGGAGCAAACTTGAGACAAAGACCAGTTCTAATGTCATATTCCTCTTAATAGTTTCATTTCTTTTCCTATGTGGAAATAGGACATGATTTTACTCAGGGGTAGATAAGTTACCTTTAGCAGCTGCAGTACTTTTATGAAGCAAACAAAAAAAGGGATCTGTTCTTTCAAATGTTTGCCATAAAGCTGTGGTACTAAAAGCATGTTGAACACAGAGAATGAAATTTTCGGGTTGACCTCTCCTGCTGCAAGCCCGCTACAACCTTTTTAATATTCCTTTTTAGCAATTTTTATGCTACATTTAAAAACCAGTGAGATTTCTTGCTATGTGTAACTCTTGTAAAACTATTCAAAATACTCACTTGTAAGGTACAGCTTAAATAAACTCATGATCTTAGTGCTGGTTTTGGGCCAGCACTAAGTCATTTTTGCTAAAATAATAGAAAGTAGATCTTTTCTGAAGAGGTGAGTCCCATAGAATTAGTAGTCATTGCATCTATGTCATCTCTTCTTCCCATTCCCCAAGTCCTTTTCAAAACTATTGTTAGGATCCGGGCACAAATGGAAGAAGTAATAACATTGAACCTATAGGGGAAGAAATGTCTCCATTCTTTTAACTTATGTCGTCTGAAGTATTAAACATAATGACAAATATGAGTCTCTTGAAAGGTTTTAAAGGGAAGTGAAAGCTCTTTGGTTACATGTAACAATATAACCAAAGTCCTGGTTGTTGTAAAACAATAGATTGTTTTGTTTAAGAGATAATTTGAAGGAAATTTACATCTGTAAATATGGGTCTGTGTTCTTAGATTATTGGACTGGGCTTTAAGGAGTCTATAAGGTAAATGGAGGAAAAGGCATAAGAAGTGTCATGTTTTATCTTGGCTTGCAAGAGCCACATTTCAAAACATTTTTGAAGTCTTGAAACACCAAGTGTAAGAAGGTTTTTGAATTATTTTGAACTTCTGCACTTGAGATGATTTCAAATAACTTGAAGGTATTAATGATCAAATATTGAAGTTTGAAACCAGTGTACTTTGGAAAGTTTCTGAAAAGTTCATTAGGGCATCACTATTAAGAAGAGATTTTTAATAGGTTGTGTTAATTAAATGAGGATAGTACTGTTACAAATTACAAAAACAAAATGGGTCATAGAGTTCTAAAAGCAGCCTATTATATATGCACTGTGCACATTATTATTAATACATTCATCATTTGAATGTTTTAGGGACTGTTTCTAAATATACATACAGCTATAGTGTTTGATGTTGTTGCTGTTGCCTTTTTTAGATATACAGAAGACTATTATCTTCACATAGTCACAAAACTGCAGAACTGCACCTGGATAAGGAGACCAGAAGAATCTATGAAATTCAGGTAATTTTCATTGTCACTTAGAAAAACAGTTTACCCTAGATTTGTATAACAAGCCATAATTTTAAATCTTCCCTTCTGAAAACATAATTTTGTGTTGCTTTTAGACTGCATTTGTAGCTGTACATTTCTATTAACCTTTTGCTGTTGAGGCTCTTCTTATTTATTTGAATTGAACTGTGCAAACTGAGTAGGATAAATGAAGCAAATTCACCCATTCACTGCAAATGAAGCAATTTCACCCACCTCCACTGTAACAAATAGTTAACTAACTTGGGTAGAATGGATTAAAATACTCCTATCATAAAGCCTACAATATTTAAAAAAAATCAGTAATGTGATTTTGTCCATCTGAGCTGGCACTCTGGTAAAAGACTGTGTAATGAAGCAGTGTATTTCTTACCCCAAGGCTATTGCTTCTATTACAGAAATGCCCAAAGCACTCATTAGATTTGATGCTGCATGCTAGGTTTGAAACCCCTGAGCATGTAAGCACGTGATTACATCTGTCCTTTTTCAAGATGGCACATAAATACATGCTCAGTAGGGACGGTGGTCTCTGAAAAGCTTCCCCTATCATTTGGAAGTGCATCATGCTGATTTTAGAGAGCAGCTTCACTGTGCCAACCCTGTTTTCTCCAGGGTGAATTTCTCTTGAATTACGTTATTACATGGAACAGAATTAAAGATTCTGTCATGATCATTAAAAATAAACAAACTGACCTGTCTTCCACCTCTGGAGTTAACCAGCATTGAAAACTGAATATCCATGCCCAGCAGGATACCTCTGGAAGAAGTAATTTTGGGGTGTGTGCGCGAAGCTTTCTGTGTAACAGAAATTGCTGTGTTTGTTGTGTATTGTAACTGACTAATTGTGTTTCCAAAAGCTGAGGTAGGAGAATACACATGGTTAAGGTTTAAGAAACTTTCAGTTAACTTGGACAGGCTTTAACTGTGCACAGGGATATCAGAGTGTGATAAGGAGCTGTAGAAGCAGCCCGTTCTGCTTAAGAACAGGCAGGTGTCCTGTACAGAGTTGACAAGAGGTGAAGCTGCTCTCATCTGCTCTTCACCCTGCTGCATTTAGGCTTATTGTTGTCCAGTCTTTTTAACTTTTCCTTCTGAACAGACCAGCCACCACTTGCAAGCATTTTGTTCATATGGACACAACCCATGCTGCAATTCTAATGGCAATACTGCATATTCTTCTGTCCCTATGATATTTGATCTGCTTTGATACCATCCAAAATTTCTGTTGCTATGACCAAGGACTGGTACTTCAGATTAGAGCATTGCAGATGATTGTTTTACAAAAGATGTGTGCTTTTGCATCAGTCTTTTATTTTTCCATTGTCTCAAACTCCTGTCTGTTGTTTTTTAGAAATAGGATATTAAAATCTTACAATTATCCCTGGTCCCATACCCTACTGGAGACTTTCAAGGCTCTTAGCAGTTGGTCAATAAAAATATCATTAAAGAAAGAGAGAAACAAATTCAGTATAAAATTTACTGTCTAAATCTGTATACACTCCATGCTTTATCAGATTTTATCTTAAGCACAAGAGCCTGAAACTAGCTTAGTGAGGGCACTCTAGCTGAGAAATGATGCATTGACAGAGCTCTATGGGGTACAGAGCTTCTAGAAATGCGGTGTAATAAATGAGTTAATAATCCCTTGGCAGTACATTTCTTCTTTTTTCTAACTTTGCCTAGTGTCAGTAATGCATAATAATTGTGTGTTACAAGTATTACTCAGTTCTAAAAATCTCATTGAGTAGGTAGATAAATACACCCATTTTGCAGAAGAGGAAATTAATCTCGGAGGGGCTGTGCAGCAGGAATTGAGTAATACAGCTAGCCACCTTCAGGAGCAGAGCTTGAAGCTGCCTGTGTCATACTACTCACCTGCCAGTGCCAGCAGAAGTCTGCCTGCTGACTAGACTGCAGAGAACATGCTTGACCTCTTTCCCTCTTTGACCATCTGTTAAATGGAGTGAGCACTTTCATGCTTCACAGGTGTGGTGTCAATTTTATGACATCTCTGTATTATCCTGAAGTTCTGAAGAACAGGCATGCATATTTATGAGGGATTTAATGTCTTATGCTTCAGGGCATAAACTAACCTCTAATTAATAAGGTTCAAAACCAGCTTTCTGTGGGACAGTGAATTTTTCAGAGAACCTTTCTTGCGTTTTCCAACAGTCTTTGCTGTTGGCTACTGTCATCCTGGTAGTGGAGTGAGGGAATATACGATCTGAGCCAGTAACTCTTGTGTTCCTCGAAGACAGCACTGTGTGCCAATGAGTACACATTGATTCTCTTTGTAAACCATGCTCCCAGCAGATCCAGGCCAAATAAAAGAATATGAATTAAAACTGCAATGCAGGAAAGAAATATTTGTCGTTGTTTTTGCCAGAAGCATTACAACCGACAGCCATGCATGGCACAAACCACAATGCTTTTACTAACAGAGTGCAGGATTCCAGGTTGACCCTCTACTGTCTAGCTCAGCTTTGCCATGCAGCTGTGCAAACTATGTACATTTGTTGGCAGAGAGCTGCCCTTTTCCTTTCCCAAATGGCTTCCTCTAAAGATCCTCTGCTGTGCAGGCTCACACGCACTTGGCTGTATTGCTGTCTGGCAGTGGTCAGTGGTTCTTGACAGCTCTATAACATTTAGCCATGCGGTTCTCAAAATCAAGAAGAATCATGAGGCGAGTACAAGCCATGATTTTCTCTTTAATACATCCCATATCCACAGTCACTCTTCTCTGGTTGATTTTTATTTTTTTATTTTTTGTCCAGTCTCTCTGTCAGGGAACCAGGCTCCTGACCCTTCGCTTATTTCAGTATCTGTAACTCTGACATCAGCACTGCCAGATTTAGGCTGTCCTCAAAGGAGAAAGTGCAAGCACTGGATGCACTGCTCTTGCAATCCTAGTCAAGATTTATTGTGCCCCACAGTAGTGTTGGTCAGCTATCGCTAAAGAGGTTTTATCTAACTTCACAACACTAGCAGAACAGAACACAACAGAAGGGTGTATAAATGGCATCCTACTAACAGTGGTTTAGGGAAAGCCTTCTCTGATGTTTACTGCTACTGACATATAGAGAACTAGTTAAGTATTTTGTTATGCAGACCTTTCCTTTATGAAATTTAGCTGTGCTTGTTGGTTTTGTGTGTTTTGTTTTTTTTTTCTCCATTTCTCTTCTTTATGGCTCTACGATCATCAAGCATCTCCGTATTACCTCTTTGTTTCTAAGCCCACCTGAGTTCTCCCTCCCTTTTCAGATTCACATCAGCTTTAACTTGTTTTAGGCAAAGCAAGTCCTCAGATCTCTTGGTTATAAGACAGTAAGAGAGGATTGGTAGAAACTCTGAAGGGGGGGGGAAGTAATCTCACAGCTGCCTAGAAGTGTCATTCTCAAAGCTCCAGGAAAAAAAGCTGTGCTGAGTAGCTTCCTCTGCAAAGGCCCTTCTAGCTACATATAGTGGAGTCTCAGGTTCCCTAGGTAACCTGAATATTAATTATTATATTAGTATTCTTCAAAGGTTTTCCACTTAAAAGAAATGTTTCATTAGTGCAAGAAATTACAGAGCCCAATTAGGTGCAAACTGTAATCGTTTTGTTGTTTTGTTTTTTTTTTTTACACCTCCACATCCCTTTGCTGTACAGATTTCTAAACTCAGTTTATTCTCATTTGAGCTGCACACCCATGGTGGCAAATAATCTGCAGGTTTTCCAAATAGTTGCAACTCCTGTTTTTGCTGGAAGCTAAGAAATAGCTACAACAGCCTTCAAAATTACTGTGGGGGGAGGGAGGGAGGCTATGGAGAAAGGCTAAGCAGATGCTGTGTTTCAGTGAAGCCTCTGGGCATTGTATTTCTGTGCTGTCTTGCTGAGCTTGGAGCCTGGCAAAGCAGCGAAACAGTTCTTCAGGAGTGGTATCAGACTGAAATAGCCCTGTGTAAACTGTGGATAATGGCCTCTCTGCCCACAGAAATACCATCCTGACAACCCTTATTTGCGTCTGATAATGAAGAGAGAAGGAGATTCCTGCAGTTTAGCTGGCACACTGCTCCACCCTACCAAAATATCTTAAACTTTTTTTTTTAAAAAGAATACAATACTACTTAAAACCCCCTGGATCTTGAAAAGAATAGTTCAAAGATCAACCCATTTTCCTAGCCCTGTAATTTCCCTCCTGCTTTTTATTCCACTTGACCTCTATTAGCCTTTTCCCACTTTAATATCTCTTCTGAAAAGTGTGTGTTAAACATTCCTGCAGATTATAAAATCCCACTCCTTGAAGAGATTAATTTGTAGTGTGTTACACTGTGGTATATAAATAACAGTGCTGCTCACAACATCTGTGTACTGCAGTGAACCACAGTTGAAACCCTTCAAGGTCAATTTATGCTTTCATAAGCTTACACGACTGCATAATCAATAGCTTTCCTAACACTAAACAGGTCAATAATTCTACTCTACTGTCTGAAATCTTTCATTGGAGTATGCAAGAAAACATGCAGAACTCCGAGATTACAGTCTGACTTAAGAGTACATTTGCTCCATAGGTTTGACAGATCATATGTAAAATCAGGAGTATATATTCAGAGACATTTTTCTATTTCAGAAAAAAGGTGGGGTTGAGAGATAGTAATTGGGGACAGTTTGGAGAAATAGTTGAATTTTTAATTGCTCTACAGACTATATACTTCCTGAAGGTTGGAGGATTCCTATGAGGGGAACCTAATATGGAATCAGACTGAATTAATTATGTCTTCATGGCAGACTCTTTAAATAGTCTTTGGTTTGGCAATTTTATTACACTTTTTACATATGCAGTCTTGATTTCAGATTCAACCCTGTTGGCTTTCACTGCTTTAGACATTTATGATGGTACTTCATTTATGGACGGTTTAAGAGCTGTTGGAGCAGCATTCTCCTTCAACACATTCTGTTTCAGACACGAGATTTAACCACTCTTTTCTAAAAGATT